GGATGAAGTGCACTTGTAAGCGAAGTGCGGCCAGGAAGCCAAGCGCATATGGTCCTAGGAGAAACACACGCTCGAATTCGACGACGATGCCACGTGTTCGAGGGTCGATGCACCGTTGGTTTCGTTCTTTCGTACGTTCCTGTTCCGATGTCCCCACGATTCCCTCTGGGGATCTCCTTTCGTCAACGGTAGAAAAGAAAAAGCTAGCATTGGGTTAGGTTAAGCACGTCCTGCGTTCTCTATTGAGCGTAAACAATACGGTGAGAGCAGCGGTGATTTAAATAACCCTGGCATAACGAACCTTGAACATGCTTGTTTCGGTGGGAAGCGTTGAGTGTTGCGAAAGGTGCACTGGTTTCATGGTGTGGTAACACGCATTTTGAAAGCGTTTAATAATAATCTTCATGGGGCACATGGTTGAACATGTTATGTTGAATATATCAGATCTTTTCAAAGGTTTTTGCGTATTTCTGCGTAAATGAGTGTTAAAAATGACCTCACTGAATATTAAGCGTTATTATTGTAATATAACGGATAATTGAAAATTTAAATACCTTTATATTTTTATTCATAATACATATAAGTTTGTACAAAGTCCAAACGTATTAGAACAATTGTTTGATCTGTAGACTTCAGTTCATTGGAATGATTCTGTGTTACTGTTATGATGTATACGATCAGATCTATAAATCACTTTAATTCGAATGACTCCGGTTCTTGCTGCAGTTGTTCCTCGAAAGGATAAAGTACCACTTCCATCAAGTACATTGCTCTTTTTACTTCTAATGAATCATAAACAGGGTAGAGACTATTATTGTCGAAACTAAAGCGTACTTACCTCATGTTCACACCTGTGTGCACTTATGAGGACCAGTATGGCATTATTATTGGGTGAAGACGGATGGAAGAAAACATATGAAGTTCTTAAAATACATTCTTGTGTTTCACGCATTATTCGCTTGTCATTGTTATCAAAATTTTCTCTTAGCACAATACTTTTTCATAAAATATTCGAAATTGAAATAATCTCAAACGCAAAAGTGCAGTAAATTGCTATCTCTTATTTTAACAAATAATCTCTATTTTAAATTCTTTTTCTATTTGTTCTAAATTGTTCTAAATCTATTCGATTTACTCACAGCTTTACAAGTATATGAATAAAAATAGTTCAAATTGTGGATGAAAATAATTTAAGTTATCGTTTCATAAAAAAACGTGGTGCACGAACTTTCCGTTTCGAATCGTCGTTTTCCTTCACTTATTTATCCTAATTCTGTCGATTTCTCTGTTCTTATCAAAATGGGATAAAATTGTGAATTCTAAATTGAATTTAACTTTGATAACTAACGATTGAATGGGTGTTTTTACGATAAGCCAGGAAGGTTTTCGATCGCGCGCGGATGGTACGATATCGATTCGATGCCAGGGGAAGAAAAAACGAATGCACGATAGTTGGACGATTACTTTCGACCGAAATGCACAGACAAGTCGCCCTGCTTTGCCAATTTTTCGACGCGATTTTTCGCCAATGCCGCATTCTGCCGCCCGTCTGCCTATCCTCGTTCCGATTTATCGAATCGTTCCAAAGAGCGTGCGTTTACCCAGAAAGATGTCGTGAACGCGGCCTTACATCCCCATCTGTAAATATTAGGACATCTATGAGGTAAACTAAAATAACTGAAGAAAATAAATCTAGTCAGCGCAAAGAATCAACAGCAAATTATTGACCTTTTTAAGAATTATTACTTTATTTGAAATTGTAGATTGTAATTAAATCCTGTATGAACACAGGGTTCCGATCGATTAATCTCTTCGCTGACAATCTGGATCAATTGCCATGTTTTGTACGAGACTGGAATATGTTCTCATTTTTGGATGAAAATTATTTATGTTACTCTGTTGCGTGGAAAATTTGCTTTACGGGACAAACCTGGAACTATTTCGAATCGGAAGTTGTTGAAACTCCTTTGTTCTGCCAAATACGTCGACAGACTTTATAGTCGAGATATATCCTAATGCGAATATTAAAAACTGTGAACATCGAGAAACTTATGATATACATGCGCCGCAAACTATTGTCAGTTGGCGTTATGGGTGTTTTTGAAACTTTATGACTATTTATCGCAAGTGTGTATATCACAGGTGGATAAATTGCGATGTTTTAGTACAGGAAATTTTTGGATAAAATTATTCTTAGCCCTTCTAAAAAGACTTTTAAAATTCCAAAAACAAAATTCAGTATGAATTTTTTATTACACCATATGTAATACATTTTTCCAAGCTATTCATATTTTATCTATTTTTCAAAAGAAATATCAATATGTTAAAAGTCTTCGAACCACCTATTTAAATGAAAGAAAGTGTTCCACAAATTTTAATCTCACTTTTATCGATCACTAATTTTCTACTTCAAGAAGAACCACTCCAGAAGGAAAGAGAGAAAGAAAGCCAGGATCAATGATAGAAACTTACAAGCCATCCTCAACTGGGTTCGTAAACTGAAGCATGGATTCGCTCCGGAAAAAGAAAAAGTATAGCGCGCACAGTTTGTCCGATTTGAGTGACAATATGGATTTCACTTTGATTCGGGCTGGTTCACGCGAGATATCCTGACCGATAAGCGACGAAGGCCTCCGCAAAATGTTGCGCATTGCGTCTTACAACACGCAGTGCCAGCTATAGCTTCCGCCCGCTGGGGTGCATGCCACTCTCTCCCTCTCTCTGCAGTTTGCAGGTGGTCAACCTCGTGCTTGCCTTCTTTGTGCAGTGCTGAACTTCCATCTTCGTCTCGATCGAAGCTGATCCGACAAGGAGAAGCCACGCTGTTGGAATTTCTCTTCATTCTTTCCCTTTTTCTTCTTTTAGGAAGTGTGTAGTAGGGATGTTTGTATAGATGCTTGTTGGTTTATAATGGAAAATGTGGTGAACAGATTAGTTGACGATAGAAGTGAAGCAATTAAATGAATATATGAAAGCTGGATTTTTATATATTTGTCATTGTTACGTATATTTCGTATATTTTTGCACATTACAATTTTTCATACATTCAAACAAATCCGCAGTGTAGTCGTGGATATTTGTGTTATACAACACTTGACATTTCATTAGCATCGTAACAAGGTACGAATGTTATGATAAAATCTGAAATCAATTTGAAAATATACCTAGAAGTTATAAGATATCTCCAATCGAAATCCTTCAATTTCGAAGTCTGTAATAAAAACGTTTGTGTTTAACTCCTGTTTAGATATCTAACACGGCAGTGATACAGGAAAAGTGATCCACCCGAGGTCGAGTTCACTTTCAGTGAAAACTTCAACCCTTGTGGAGAGCACGCATATTTTTAGGGAGCAAGGAAAGCGTCTCTCGAACAGATCCGGTATATCCTCAACTTAGTAATATGCTGTTAGTAAAAGCAGATTATCCACGGGCTGCAGTCTTGCCCTTGTGCGTAAACGCATACCCTCTCTCTTACCGTATTTCGTGTGACAGCTGCGGTGCTTAAAATAGGGGTTCAGTAGTTCAGCAACGTACACCGTTGCTTTTGTACAGCCACGATAACACGAGCATGTGCTGGATAAATCGTGCAGCGATTGTCGTACTGAATAAACCTGATTTTTCCTTTCATAGAGCTCGTTGTATGCTGCTTCGGCGACAATGATGGACGAATCACCGGAAAATCTATTTCATTTGCATGCTTCGTTGATTACTGTTCTTCCGCTGTTGTTTGCTGAGAACTTATGCTGCGTTGAACTGATTGGAATTTTATATCAATAATAAAGATTAGTTTGTTTTTATAGAAAAAATTATAAGAGATATTGTATTATAATAATGATCTGTATTTTTGCAGATGTTAAAGATTTAGGCATTAGAATGTTAAATCAAAAGGAATGGGTATTTTAATTCAAAATATTTGAATAATATACCGCACTGTATATGTTTGAACAGTATAATTTTGGATAATAAATTATTAAATTATTTGAATATCGTGTTAAATTGATTATACGTGAAATTTGGCTCAAATTGGTGAAACAAAAGTCATGCACCTCCTTGTGGGGTGAGTAATTGATACGATCGATATAAGGAGTCATTAGTGACTGAGAATATTCATTGGTACATGAATAGTCTTTGGAACTATTCCATTGAAATAAAAAGAGAATTAAAAATTCAACAGTTCGAAGTAATATATATTTATGATGTATACGTTCGAATCACGTTATTTAAAACTTCCTTAAATTTTACAAAATACTGCTGTGAATTATTAAAATTACTTGACATCGTAGATATCGTGTATAAATTTTAATTTTGCGAATTCAGAACAGGATTAATTTCGTATTGATTTTCATTCGCATTTTAGTATTAGAAAAGAATGGCAATTAGTTTTATTCTACTTATTGATCGAATTCTGGTTGGTTACCGGTCAGCAAAACACGTTGCTATATAATTAACTATTTGCATACGTTTTGTAGATTAAAGGGTGAACTTTGATAGAAACTCCAACTTTACATTTTGGACCCAGCCAAATATTTTTATGCGCTTTTATACACCTTTTTGGTACGTTTTTAATAGTTTTAATAGTATTTTATCTAAAAAGAATAAGACAATTTTTAAGGTATTGAAGAAAAGAGATATGAAAATACATAAAGATACCGGTCGAGTTTGACACGGAATGCTTTGTGAACACGAAAATATGTAATATTTTCAACGTCTCAAAATATTTCTTAGAACTCGAGCAGCTTCTAGGTCGTTGAAAAATTTTCCGTTCTTTTCCCACAGTTTAATATCTTGAATATCGTTCACGTTGACGCGAACTTTTCAAATCGGAAATTCAAAAGAGGCTGCATAAAATGCGGGGCGAATACGGCAATTCTCAGATGTATTTGAATGAGTTTGCAGTATTCGGTCGTTCACATTATATAATTTAGTGTTAAAATTATGGAAAAGGATTGAATACTGAATGTAGAATATTACAAAACATCTAGCGTATTAAAAGCTTGATTTATACATACATATATCTTTTCATCTTGATAAAATAGAGATGAAGTAGATTTTTATAAAATTTGAAGATGTATGATAAATTGATTTTCTATTATTACTTGTACTATCCTTTTTGAAAACATACAAAGTAGCATGTATACAAGCCTCTGCTGATACAGATGCGCTTCCTAATTTCAAAATTTCCTAATTATACGGCGTTTAAGCTTTAAAGTTAGTTTTACTGACGACACCGCGATGCTATGCAAATGATTACATTGTCGCATTAATGCATGCTGTTATGCCATGTTACACGGTGTGGTAGTCAAGTACTGACATCCCGTCACGGAATAACTAAAAACAGAAAAGTAAAATGCTCCATTTTACATTTTTAATTCATTTTTATCATGTAGAAAATAACGCACATAGTAGTATTATAAAAATTACAATAATGATAAAAATTTATTTAAATTGATTAAAAGGATGAAAGGAAATTCCAGACTCACTATGCTACAGTGTATGCAGGACCCAAAAGCAGCATCCGTTGTGCTCCACTTATTAAAGCTCTTCGAGTATCCCTCTTTGAGATGCTATAAGGAGCACATATGAAGCTGCCGCTTCTTATTTCAGCCTGACCGCATTAATGTTCCGTTTTATTTCGGTGCGTTGAAGAAAATGAGGTAATCAGCTTTTCTCATTTTTCTCGCCATCTCACCAGAAAGAATACTTCGCTAAACTTGTACACTTACCGTTTGCGCACACATCGAGCTTCCTTTGAACAACAACCTGTTGTGCATTTACTCTCACGCGCAGTAAATTTCCTGGAATTTCAGAGATTCTATGTTAAAAATAAGAAATTCGGTTTAAGACGCTATTCCTTAAATTTTTTCAGTTTTTGAACCTAAATATTATTGATTACGCCACTCTCTTATGCTGTAAAGTCTGTAAACGAATTTATAGAGTCGGATTTATTAGTTAGTAGCGTTTATCACTAGAATGAATTACGATAAGCTCTATCTAATAACAATAATAAAAGTTATACGGAAACTTGTGAGACAGGGAGTATATTTCAACGTGATATCGATAAGACAGTTCTGTCGCGCATTCATAGATGTAGTGCAATTTTAAGTCAATGGAAAGTTTACTAGTTAAGTATTACATCGCGCGGCACTCCTAGACACTGATGGATTTCAAGAATAATGAATGGCGGTCCTTAAGCGCAGTGCTTATACTTCAAGACGAAGCTGTGCAATGCTCTATAAATCAAAGGGTGTGTCGTGTGTTTATCCATGGCAAATTAATTCTACATAGTTTGATTAGCGTTCTCTACCTTTATCTGGATACGGATCATAAGTTAGAGATAAGTTGGAGATAAGTTGCATAAGAAGATAATTTTCCGTAAGAAAATTATTATATTTATAGTTTTATACATACTTATATTTGTTGGAATAGATACTTTTTTCTTTATTTTAGATTTGAATTGCTGTATCCTTATTCCTAATTGCAATTGATTAAAAATAAAATTTTCTTTAAACTCGGAATCTATGAACTTTTCATAAAGAGCGTACTCCAGCTAACAAAATATTCCCATGGGAAGACACAAAGATGCCGTTCATGTATACGTATAATCGAGTAATAAAAAGCACGAGAATATTGTGTGTATTCTCTAATGGACGTGTATTTATCGTATCTGTAATTCATCGCTATCGTTTCAAGCTAACGCGACTGATTATATGGTCATGGAAATAGAAACTGTCAACCAAACACGACCGTCTAAAATGCTACTTGAAAGATAATAGCCCGTTATTTTTTTCCCCATTCTATATCATTTCTTTCAGCAAGACAAACCTCTCGAGCCGACCTTCAAGAAATTATTATCGAGTGTACCATCGATTATTGTGTCAACGATCATTCCAATTTATCGACTCAGAAACCGTCTCTCGTTACTCTTGCGTGGATCTTATTTAACGCGAAGATGGTTTCTTTCATCGCATTACGCTTTCAATCGTATTGTAAAAGGAAGATTTTTAAAATTATAGAATATTCGATTATAAAAAATATTTAAAACAGACAGAAAGTTTAAAGACAGTCGAATTCTAAAAATTTCGGAACACTAATTGTGCATTCTGGTACTAAAATTAATTTTGTTGTAAATTTCAAATGAAAGATTTTCTCATTTCAAATGCTTTCCTGCGTAATTTCTCTAATAAAGAATATTTTTTTCTCGCAGCTCGTTCAAGATTAAAAATGTTATCCTCTTGACGAGGAACTCCATACGCCAAAAAACACAATAACACATCGTCGTCGTAAAGTGTTCTTGCGTGTTTGTATGTACAGCTGAAAAGAAACGACTTTACTCGGAAATAATCGTTTCACAGGCTGTTCTAATTATACTCCATTAGCGTGTTAATGCTCGAATCAGTTTTTAATGAAACCTAACCATATTTGCAGCGTTAATGTCGTATGCTGTTATCTTTTCATCGACTCCAAGTGAAAGTTAGCAAATCCTTCTTAACCAAATGAATGGGTGACCAGGAAAATTTTCTCTACACTATACGCTCAAATAGATTGTAAGACTCATCGTGCATAATCTATAGTTTGAAATTCTATAATTTAATTAAAAAGTACGCAATAGTACTCTATAGTAATGGAATAAATGAATACAGGAACTATACTCGAAGTAAATAACTGCATGGATTCCAATGCAGTGCAAAGCAACCGAAAAGGGCTCATAAAATTATAGCTTATGGTGTATATATGCATTATGTTCGAGTCCCATGTAACAACGACTGAGTCATCAGGTTTAGACGTGCGTAGTTTACGGTGTACCAAAAGGATGAAGAGAAGAGTAAAGAATGCGAACAGCCGGATGCCGTAGAACCGAGTCACATGGACGTAAACCGACACGTGCACCCTCTTTTCTGACACGGTCCGATGATTTTTAAGATGGGGGCGAATACGGTGGACTTTCTCATCGGCTAACCGATGGATTCACCGCAA